ACGCGGCCGTAATGAACACACCCAAACCCCGTCCCCCCCCCCCCCTCCCCAGACAGACTCACTCTGACCGGTTACCATAGGAACCCGAGAAGGGAGGCTGCGGATCTGCAGCGCCGGGCGTCGTTAAGGGATGCTCTTGAACACAATGGAGGCATCCATGAGGGCGGCAGAGTTACATCTCCAGGAGAAGAACCCTTCATCAAAGAGTTGAGCTGTGTCTCAGCTCCCAAACGTCTCTGGCGTCCCTTTGGAAGCACGGCTAGAACTATTTTTTTATTATCTGGTGAAGTAATAAGGAGGGTCAACAAGGATGAAGCATTCACCTCAAATGTCCTGACACTTGCTTTTCCCCCCCTCTCTCCTCATTATACACAGTGTAATTATCCTGCACCATTCTTGAATGTATTTAGGATGCATGACTTTCATGATGGAGGTCAAAAACACCATCAGGCCCCCAAAAAGGGAGGCATGAGTGATTCTCAAGGATGCTTTTCACCAAGGCTGAGTTCTCTTGGGGATCAAACCTATAATTGGACTGGAGATGCATTCCTGAACCTGCGCACCTCTGGGGTCTATCGCTGTCTGACGGTTCCCATTAGGAAGTTGGCCAGCCAAAGGAAATACATGCAAAGTGGGCATAAATTAGATTTTTAGATTTGTGTGGAGGGTGCTAGAGGAGGATATCAGATCATTTTAGAGCATCCAACACATTTTGAAATCAAAGACAACCAGAGTAAATAGAATAACTGGTTTTCAAATTATGTTTTTACTTATTAGTGGAAAACAACCATATAAACCAACTTGTTGAAGAAGTGTTAGAGTCTTACATTGCTGCTGAATTTGTAGCCTAATAGTCATTCGTTGTTCTTTGACTAGGCCACTCCAAACCTTTAGTTCGTTTTTGATAGATATTCAAAGGTGGTGCATTACCAATCTTGGAGCCATTCTCCATCAGGGTTGTTTGTTAGAGAGCAGAAATCCTGTAAGACATCCAGATTGTGAAGCAGTAAAACTGACCCAAACCATCACACTACCACCGCCATGCTGAACACTTGGTATGATTATCTCTTATTTTGTAATGCTATTGGTTTTACATCCACCAAGAAGTTCAGTTTTTGTCTAATCCTTCCACAGGTTATGTCCTGAAAGACTCGTGGACCATCAAGATCCTTTTGCTAACTATAATATGGTTTGTTGTCTTTAGTTTGGTTTTTCTGTGGTTCTTTGAGTTCCTTTAACCCATTTCCTGCTGGCAGATAGGTTCTGCAATTTTTTCAAATGATTCTATGGTTCCGGGACTAACCAGGTCAGGACAAGACTTTAAATCAAATGGATCTTTTGTGTATCAATTAATCAGTGAC